GGCCCAAAGCGAAAAGCCGGCCCCCAGCCGCTGCAGCCCATCACAGCCGTGCCCGCTGTCACTGCGGCACCGAAACAGGACCACCAAAGAATGGACACTATTCAGGAGGACCCAAGCACTGACTCTCACATTGACGAGGACGGGTTTGAGAAGGACCCTTTCCCAAATAGCAGCTCGGCCGCCAAATCTTTTGAGGACTTGACAGACCATCCTGTCATTAGGAGTGAGAAAGCTTCGTCCTTTAAACTACAGCGCCAGAACCGAGTGGACAGCAAAGAAACAGAATGCTAGTGTCTTGCTGCCTTCTACATGTATGACTTGTGTCTGCAAAATAAGGATCTAAAACCATTTCATTTATATAAATATAAATATATGTATATATATTTTTGTGAGGGAGTGGGAGAAATAAGGAAGTGACCTACTGCAGATGCTGGTCATGTGTATGACCTTCCTTAAATTACATTCATTAGAGCATTATATCTTTTAAAAAGGAAAATCCAAACTAAAACTGGCTTGTTTTTGAAGCTTTTTGGATTTGTTTTTCTATTTCCTTGACCTTTAACATTTCCTTCAACCTGTGGAGCAAAACCGAATATCCTGCTGGATATTGGATTGTGTATATCGGCCTTTTTTATAATTTAATATTCTGTAGTCTGACAGCACTGATAGACAAAATTAAGGGGCTTTTAAAAACAAAATGAAAACACTGCAGTATGTTCCCTACAGAGTAGATCATTTAGCAATTTAAGGTACATGTAAGCAAAAGCCTAAACAGATGCCTTGAGAACAGAATGAGAGTAATGAAACATAAAAATACAGTCTCACAGCATTAAATGAAGATGAATAATTAGAATCAAGAAGCTTAAGATACACAGCTTTGAAATAAATAAAAATAAAAGGGTCATGCAGAGGCTGTTAAACCTTATATGATGCATGGAAATGCTCCTCTAGTGTGAAACTGTTTTGCCTCTAGCGTCGCGTCTTCGTTGCAGAGGAAGGCTTTCGTTGGGAGTTTCCCACTCTGCACCAAGAGGCTTGTGTGTCGCAGGTGTCTGGTAGGAGAAAGAAGTATAAGTGGAGAAATCACGTAAGCGGATGAGGACTGTTTTAACCAGCTGTTTACAGCGGGTGTTTCAGTGCAGAGATGTTTCTCCGAATGTTATTTTGAAATAGGTAACACTATTGTTGAGATGTTCAAAGAGCTGAGCCTCAGTTTTGTGTGGTCTATGCGGCCTTTGGAAGCTCCTACTGCATAAATAAATGGGGGGCGGGTGGAAATTCACTTCATTGGAGGGGGGGCATTTGTTCAAAAACAATTGTGAATTGAATCAAAAAAGAAATAAACCTTTGTTAAACTTACAGGGCAAGTATAAGGAGGAGACTTCATGAATTCAAATTTCCACACAGGTAATACAATGTGATGTTAAAAGTTGGTAATTTAATGGTGTCCTCTAATTTGATACACCTGGAGATCTCTAAGCTGAGCTGGGACTGGTACAGGAGCGTTGTTTTAGCTTAGTATCAGATGGACTCACACAGTGGAGTCATAGAGCAACTGTCGTGATAGTAAAGCAGCATCTTAATTCTGCATCTGCTCTCTCCCATAATAATCTGTTGATAAAACTGACATAAAACGTGACCAACGGTAGAACCATTTTAACTGTTAGAAGCCTGCGCTCAGCCTCAGGGGACCCGCAGCTGCAGAAAGCCTTTGTGTTTTTTAAATGTGAGGGAAAGGAACCAGACCTGTGCTGACAGGATTGCGGGAGTACCCCCCTCTCCTCCCTGCCCACTAATACTTGAACGCGTGCCTTACGGTATTCCTATCTGACTAGCTATTGTGTTTTATATACTCGTTTTGAACTTCTGGGGGTTTTTTTTGTTTGTTTGGGTTTTCTTTTTTTGATTCAGTGCAAAGTTTGTGTGTAAGGAGTTAATTTAATTCCCAATAAAATAAAAGCTTTTTATATTAAAAAAAAAAAAAAAATCAGTTAAACGAGCTGTTTCCTTGCAGTCCTTCATTAGTTGTCAAACCCTGAGTTAAGTCTGGCATGCAGCTAGACGTGAGCCAGTTATTTCTCACTGCTCTCTCAACTCGGCTCCTGCAGAGGCCAGACCCTGAGCAGCCATGGTGTAGCTCTGCACCCCCCGCTTCCTGCTGGGGACGTGTCCTGTGGGTTATCGTACACTCATAGAATTGATTACATTGGGAAAGACCTTTAAGATCATCGAGCCCAACCATTAACCTAGCACTGCCAAGCCCACCACTAAACCATGTCCCTAAGCACCACGTCTACACGTCTTTTAAATACTTCCAGGGATGGTGACTCCACCACTTCCCTGGGCAGCCTGTTCCAAGGCCTGACCACTCTTTCAGTAAAGAAGTTTTTCCTAATGTCCAGTCTAAACCTCCCTTGGTGCAACTTGAGGCCATTTCCTCTCATCCTATCGCTGGTTACTTGGCAAAGAGACCAACCCCCACCTCACTACAACCTCCTTTCAGGTAGTTGTAGAGCAAGATAAGGTCTCCCCTCAGCCTTCTCTTCTCCAGGCTAAACAGCCCCAGTTCCCTCAGCCGCTCCTCATAAGACTTGTGCTCCAGACCCTTCACCAGCTTTGCATGGCCAGTTCTGACAGTGAAATTCGTATCCAAGATATGGGTGTGTGCTCAAAAGCGTTTTTAGGTAGCAAATGTGTAAGAACGTGTTCTCAGCACTAAGGTCATTACGTCCCAGATGCAAAACAGGCAGTGGCAGGCGCTTGGCAGCATGAAAATAGAGGTTTGGAGCAGGCCTTGGAAATCACAGAATCCATCCCCCAACCTGAGCTGTATTCCAGCAGCTGTGAAATCTGTACTTGCACAGTTTGTTCGTCACATCTAACGCAGGAAGATCCACAGCTTCCACAGGGAGCCCCTTTCGCTGTTCAGCCAGTCTTTAAGCATTTATTACAGAAGGACAGTCTAGTTTAATATTCATAAATATTTATAAATCAAAGAGCTTCTAGTCTAGCCCCAGGCACATGAAAAATAACTGCTTACGCTCCAGTTTATAACACTATTACACAGATGACAGGACTTGGCCAACTTGTCTTAAATTAGTGAAGCAAAGGCAGCCTCATGGCACTAACAAAGCAGGACATCTTGATGAGCTCTCATCAGTCTCTGTTTCACCCAATGCATAATAAATATGTCACCTAAGGCGTCATCGTTTTCTGCCCATGTAACTGTTAATACAGCCCAGACGTGGGGTTTTTATTTGCAGTGATACAGTATTTATTTCTCTCTAATCCATGGGTCAGTAGTACTCTCATTTCTTCTGCTATGTGGCTGGTTAGCCAATTATTTCCCAAACTACTTTTTTTTCCATGCTTGTTGAATTTCCTCTAGGTTTCAGGCAATTTTTTTTTCAGTTTGTAAAGGTAGTTTTGTAGTTCAATTGTGTTCTCTTGGCCAAAAACTATACATAGTATGCAGTACTCATCTTTTACATCAGTTGTTAAATTATGGATGAAGGCCAAAGCTCACCTGAAATGTCTCCTTGACTTGACTGCAAATTACATATGATGCAGTTTTGTCAGCAGAAATGCAGACCCTTTCCAGTAGTATCTTCAAGATCGAAGCTTCTCAAAATGAGCATCTGCAGAACCAGTTTTATGATGCCCAAAACCATGCACTGTTTTGAAATCTATGTCTATATGCAAGAAGCTGCTGCTGGTCCAAAGTAAGTTAAACTTTAAAACCCCTGCTCTGAACTACAACATATCACTATCAAAATCCTTGCTAAAGCTCAGACAGATAACTGCTTTTACTGCTGTAATACAACCAAATAAATTAGTATCTGCACTGACATTAATGGCTCTTGACAAAGTCCACACTGCTGCCTCTTACCGGCTCCTAGGTGTTTAAAGCTAGAAGATGGTATTAATCAAGGTGTAGTCCCCAAAGCTCAGCTAGGCCAGGAACTCCTCAGGGCAGCCTCTCTCCCTTGGGCACAGGGCAGCTGAGACTCTGGCTTTCCTCCAAGTCTCCCAAGGAAAGAGGAGCTCATCCCCACAGATGTTCAAACTACCGGCACAAGCAGCAGACAGACAAACCACCCATGACACACCCCAAGTGGTCTCATCTTTATTCTCCCACAGACCAAGGGAAGGAGACACGGAAGAGTGTTGAGAGGGGACTCCTCGCTCCCCAGGCATGCAATGTTTGCAGCGTGCTGCTGGATACCGGCTGTAACAGACTGCCTTTGTCAGGCTGGGCTGCTTCGCCTCGCTACTGCAGGGGCTCTCACAGAAGACTGGCCTCGGGGTTCGTATGGTCCACGTCACGCCAATAAGGAAGCAGTGAAGGAAGAGCAGACAGTTTTTTTTCCAGGCGTGACCAAAGTTGTGCTGCTAGAAAGCTGTTGCCTTTTGTTGATAAATGGAGCCCATCAGACAAATAGGAAGAGAAATCCTACAGGGGAGGTTAAAACCATGTATTAATGTATTTGCTATTTGCAAATAGAAGGCCTTGGGTGATTTTTAAGTTAAGTAAGTTCTTCAAAGCCAGCTGGTATATATACTGGTTTCTTTTTTCACCAACTGGCTTTGAAGAACTTACTTAACTGCTATTCATCAGGAAAAGATCACAAGATTAAGCGATGCAACCAAAATACTGAGTCAACTGCACTACTGAACAGTCCATTGCACCAGGGAGTGCAGGAGAGAGAAAAGATTCAGTGTCCGAACGGGAGTTACCCGCTTACGGAAAGTCTGCAATCTGTCACATGGACGAGTTTGGGTATTTGGTCAGAAGCATCAGCAACATACCCATGCAACCTGCTCTGACTTTAAAGTTAGCCCAATGCTGTGCAGGAGGTTGGACTAGGTGCCTCCAGAGCCCCCTTCCAACCTAAACCATTCCATGATTCAAAGTCCAAGGAAAAGATTATTTACATGTAATGCACCCAGGGGACATTTGCTAACCAAATACAATGGTCAGGTTGTATCAAGCTCTATTTCTCCTAGCCCAGCACGAAGCATTCTGGATTACTTTTTTCCTTCCCCAAAATGTGATTTGGATATATTTTGTATCATTTCAGTGATAATGCAGCACTACAGGTTCCTCTACACTAAATGATGCATTTCACAATTCATGACAGCTTCAAAGTCTTTCTCATGACATCATACCTGATTTTTTTGCATCAGTGTCCAGAGGTCAAGTACATCCGTTCCACAGTCCCTAGCTACCTGAACACAGACCTGGGCGTATTCCCCAGTGGTGGCATTGCGGCGATTTAATTTGTCACCTATCAGACACAAAGAAAACACTTAGCAATCACGACTGACAGAGTTTGATTTCTGTTTTCTGTGGCACACATGATGCGTATCAGTTTGTTACACCAGCAGACACAACCAATTACAAACCAAATCCAAAGCACCTCAAGGTGCTGGCAGCTATAGCTCATTTAGTCTCTTTCAGGGCACTTTTTGTTTTTGAGGCATTTCAAAATGTATTTCTTGTTAACATTCTTGTTAAGATGTGTTAACAGGTGAGAGAGGCAACGGCAACAAGCATACAGCATAACGCTTATTTCTGTGCTGCTCACAGCTTTTGCCTTCTGTCAAGCTTCAGGTGAAACCAGTACATAGATTTAAAACTCTTCATACACCTGCTACTAGCACATAGAATAGAGTTAAGTAAATGTATATCTATTTGCAAGCTTGCCTTCTGCTTTCTGGATGACATCAGACATTTAACATCTCCTTACAGTAGTCTCCTCACTAACACGCTGGTGAAAGTGGAGTCCATTTAGGTGCAAAGCTTTATTAGCACTCGCGACTGCTACATTTGCGCACACAGTTGCACTGGGAGCTGGACGTGCTCAGTGGTAGCTACTGCAAGCCAGCAGTTTTGCACAGACCACAGTGAAACTTTGGGGCAGGATATTATTAAGTTATGTTGTTTGGGGCTGTTTTAAATGGGACCTATAATGCAATTCATCAACTCCTACTCTACTCCCTCCTTCCATCTGATGCATCTGATGATTCCCACTTCTTCACACTGCCATCTCTTTCCTTCCATCATTTCTTTTCATCATAAAAATACCCTCTGCAGCCTCACCGGTCCTTCCCCACCACGGTACGTTTCTGAACTCTTGCCTCAACTTTCTTCCTAGTTCAACTCTCCCATAGACTGAGCAGCCCTTCAGCTCATTCAGCCTCCACCACGCAGCTCCCTTTGTTGCCAAGTTCCCTGTATTGATCACAAGCTCACGTCTCCAGGTGAGGTCCTGCAGTCCTGTGCTCTTCCCTTTCTATGACTTCTAATCTAGCAGAGTTGATAATTTCTTATTCTCCCTTTGCCTTTTCTTTCATCATTAGGATTACTTCTCGACTGTTTCATCTTCTCTTCCATTCTGGAAGCACACAAACACATGCCTGCTCTCAATGTGCAGCTCTGCAGGAGCATGTGCTGGGTCTATAAGCTAAGAGCAGCAGCCAAAGGAAGTTCAAGGAACATGGTGGCCCCCTGAGGGGCCGAGGAGGCAACCTAGTGATCTACCCTGACCTCTGCATGTACCCACTCAGCTTGGGAAGGAGGACAGACAACAGTGGGGAGCAACGGGTTAGGGGATACTCAGAAATGCCAGATGCATCTGGGTGGGTGGGACTCACCTGAAGGAGCTGCCTGTTGCCTTAGTGAGACCAATGCCTACCACCTACAAAAATTCATGGCTAATGGGAGACCCAGAGCGACTGGAAGAAGGTTAACATTACACCCATTTTTAAGAAAGGTAAGAAAAAGGACCTGGGGAACTGTCGATCATTTGGCCTCACCTCAGTGCTGGGAAAGACAGTCGAGTTACCTCCTCTTGGGATTCATTTCCAAACACATGAAGGACAAAAAGGAACTATCAATACAAATTTAGCAAAGCCAGATAGTGCTTGACCAACCCAATTGCCTTCTGCAATGAAATGATGGCTACACAGATGACGAAGAGCAGCTCTGACTTTGGTAAGGGCTTTGACTCTGTCTCCCACAGCACTCTCATTTGGAAACAGAGTTTCTTTTCGTGCCTCTCTTCACACCTGGATGAATGTTTCTGTGATCATCATCATCCTCATGTTCCACATCTCTCCTTTGTTCTGATATCTATCTGACAAAACTAGAAATAAGCAGAACATTTCTCCTGGATACTGGTTGAAGGCAGATGATCTGATATTGCTGCTTACTGTGCCCACAATACTTTATTTGTGGTTCACAGTCTGAGACCACCCTGTCTTTTGTTCCATCCCTAGACAGCAATCTCTTTTAGACATATGCTGGCAGATTCAACACTGTAAATGCAAGCTTCCTCCCTCCCTACCCCATAAAAAGGTTAGCTGTAAGATGAAAATGAACTAACATTTAATTTTACTTTGATGGCTAGGAGCCAGATAAGCAGCATTCATGGTGTGCTCACCTAACAGATCTTCAAAAGGACAATACGGGTGCATGTTTGGCAAACTACAGCTGTAGCAGCTTTAGTGAGAGCTGGGCACACGCACCAGGAAAGGCTGCTCTGCGCCCGACCTACCCCTTACGCCCTGTCCAAGGATCTACTACTGTCACATATACAGTACTGGCCATGTCTGATGTTTGATCTGACCTGCTACAGCTGCTACTGTCTTACACAATTTGTGGGTGTTACTCTAGGACTTTCTCTCCTTTTCCGACTGAAATATAAAAACTACCCTGCTGGATGAGACTGAAAGCCCATATAGTCCAAAATCTGGTTTGCACGGTGATCGCTGCTAGATGCCAAAGATCCCTAATGGAAAGTCATGCAATAACACAGTCTAACTTAATGCAGTTTAAAAGTAAGGTCATCTTCAAAATGTTACCGCTCTGATTGAGTACACAACTCGGGATACGCAATACCACCTAAACTTGAGAAAACCTTGCAAATACTAAGGTGACAGCTCTGTGTTTACCTGAAGCTAACTCAAAAGTCTTTTATAAATGCGCAAGAACTGGACGAGCCGTCCAAATGAAAAGAGGACATGCTCTCAGGAGGTATAAACTGTTGCTGCTGGAGTCAGTGAGATTATGGCAATTTCCACCAGCTGAGTAACACGAAGTAAGCCGCGCTGTTATGTCTCTATTTTTAGAGTTAGCTTGAACAACCTAATGAGAAATCATTTAATCACCTTTTCCTTCTTTTTCAGGTACTTTTATTAGCATCCTTAGAATATGATATTCTCTGGGGGTTTTTCAAATTTAAAATAAACCTGGCTAGGATATTTCTGCTTAACCAAATGATGTGAAATATGCTGTGACTATTATGAAATTTTCTAAGGCATACAATGCCAAAATTTCTTCCATTATTCATGTTATTTTGGAAGCTGCTAGGACATGACATAGTCTGCCTAGGACATCTCGGCAAAACCTATGTTCTCAAAGGGCAGCCACTTCTGTCAGTTTTATGCACAAACAGATCAATCAACTTTCAAAAGGATGTTACTAGTTAGTTGGTAGTGACTCCACAAGCTTATCCAAAAGCTGTTTAGCAAAACAGCTAGCAGTCCTTTTCCATCAACTCGAAGAACATGACTGCAATCTGGTACAAGCACGAAGCTAATCATCTGTCAGCCTGGGATCAGCAACTTACACTCTGCCAGTAAAACGCAGAAATTCTGCCCATCCATACCGTTCTTTTACCTTTGGCAAGACACTCCTTTTCCCAAGCTGATTCCTGAAGAGGTGGTGGCGTTATCAAAATAATCCTGTCTTCAGTAATGTCTACTGACTTCAGATACTGTATCATGCTCTTTAAGTTCGCAGCATATTCCTCCAAAGGAACGTGTTGCTTAGGGTTCAGATCTGTTAGGGGATGGAGCACATGCATCAGCGACGTTAAACTGCTTACAGTTTAACGCTTAGCAAGTTTAACGCTTGCTGCTTAGCAATGTTAACTGCTTACACAACATAACGTACTTTTTACACAGTGTATGAATGTGGGCACACGTTTTCAGTAAGCAGTTCACCTCAACCATTGATTCAGGAGGTGTCGTGGGAAAATGCCATTCCTCAATATCCAAAGCAGACAAATCAGGAGTTTAAGCACAGCACTTCCAAATAATACAAATAAGAGACAGGGGAAAAGAAATCACCTTTTTTTTTTTTTTTTCAAAGACGCTTTGTCTTGCAACCCCGTATCTTAGTTTTAGATCACATAATCACCTCAAACTTCACCTGAAACAAAAGCTAAGATTTTTCACTCTCTTGGATGCAGAGAAAAATTTCAAAATTCCCATGGACGTACAGACAGTCCTTCATGCACTGAGGTTATCATTTTGATTAGACTAGCTCTGCGTGCTGCTATGCTTATCTTAAAGAGAATTCAAATGTTATCTTCCCTCATTTCCTCAACCCATCTGCCAAGAACCCATCAGACTGCTTTAGAGGCAGAAAAATCAGCTAGATGCCCAACTCCAATTTTAGGTGATGGATATACAACTAATTCTTGAGCACCTTGAAATTTAGTTTTAATATTGAAACTTGGGGAGAGGGAGAGAAATAGAAGGCATTGCATGGTTTAAATACAAACAAAATGATTGAAAACAATCCACTGTAAAAATGAAAAAAGGGCAACTGCTTCATAGAGAAGTGGCAAGAAAAGTCCGTGTAATGTTCTGCCTTTTCTGCTAAACTGTAAAACTGTCTTGAGAGAACAGGTCATGGGAAAAAAAAAAAGAAAGCTACTGTACCTTTCAAAGCACTGTCATTGGCTCCAAAGAAAATAGTAACCGCAACAGTACTCTCAGCACCAGTACTTTTACTGATCAGTCTTGGAAGGATCAATTTAGCCCACCTGGTGTTGTACCCTGAGAGCCCACGGTTCACAACATCACATTTTCTGAAACAAAGACACATATCAAAAAGAACATCTCTCCTCTGCCTACCATAACAAAACTCGGGAAGTTTTGAACCATTCTGCCAGGATACTGCCTCCATCCCTCTCAGAAACAATGAGATGTCACAGGAGTTTTCAGTTTTGAAAGTGCACCCTCAGACTGCATGTGTAGTATTTACCTGTCACTTAAACTTTGAAACTAGAACAACAATCTTGACGATCACTAAGGATTTTTTTCTTTCCACTCAAGCTTTGAAACACCCAATGAGTACTTCTACCAGTACTGGGCAGGTTACCACTAAGGCAGTTTCACTTCAATAAATAAATAAATAAATGTTAATAAATACATTAAATATTAACTTGTGTTGGTTTTTTTAGAAAAGCTGCATGACTTCTTGCATGCTAGAAATTACTTTTGAAATTTAAGGTCTTACCTGACCAGTCTCTCGGCAAGGGATGCCCCCCAGCCATTTTCCTGGAAGGAGAACTGAAAGCAAGGAACACTGTTAGACCCTCACTGGAAGAACTCGTTCCCCTGCAGGTCAGTCCCACCACCAGCACCTTCCCTCCTCAAAAGCTTTTTGTGCATGGCCTCTGGCACTGCTGCAGCAGCTTCCTCCCTCCCACCCTGCCTTGTCCCTGCCGAGGTCAAACAGCCCTGGTCTTACCTAGACATACAACTGGCATCGGAGGCAACGTGGGACCATACCTACAAAGTGACGGACCCTGGGGTCCCTTTGTAATCAAAACTGGCTGCTGTCAACCTGTAGTTTCATTTTGGCTGGTGAGGCTTTTTTTTTCCCCCTTCCATTTTCTACTTTATTTCTAAGATCCTTTCACCATGCTTTCATTCTGGAGAGCACCTCTCAAAAATCCTCTCTCCACACGCTGCTTTGGAGTGCAGTTCTAGTAGGTAGATACCTACCTCTTCCTGTAGTGGAAAAATTAATCCCTCCTCCTCATTCCCACTGCTGCACCATCCTCCCTGTTACAATGCTCCGCCTGTTTATAGAGCTGCACAGTGAGTTGGTTTAGACAACCGATGTCCCATTAAAGATAACCTTTGTCTTCGGCCAAATCTTTTTTCATCAGAGCAGCTCTCTGACCCACTCCACCATGCAACCCATGCAACAGAAGGCAGGGACCCAAAACGAAGACTAAAAATCTGGTACTGCCTCAAAGGAGATGTTCACCAAGCCATGGTCCGGTCATGCAGACACAGAACGTGTCTCCGGGGCGGGTGAGCTCGACACAGGGAGTGCAGGGGTCAGTACAGACAACAGGCTGTCCTCCCCCTCTGGAAAATGCCACTGCCGCCAAAATACCAGAAGCTACGCTTTTACCAGATCACACTTCTAGCATAGGAACTTCATGAATTTCTGCAAAAAGGCTCTAAATCTCATAAAAGACCATCAGCCGTGAAAGCTCCTGGAACACCCTCGCGGGAGATCCAACAGGGACAGAAGTATGCCGGGCCGCCCTCCCGTTTCATAGGTCTCCTTCCCGCCCCATGGTGCAGGCC